GGAGCAGCTTCTGCTAGTTAAAAAGGTATGGCTTAGGGCTTGAATTAGTTTTGGGCCGAAAATTGGGACGAATTTGGGCTAAGGTATATTTATTTTTGTGGGCTGACCAATTTGGTCTGATATTGTTGGGTCTGTGGGCTGAATTTAATGGCCTTTTTCTTTCTTCTTTTAAATTATTTTGGGCTTCTAACTTAATAACTAATATAATATATATTATGATATGATAACAACTAAAAATTTACATAATAAAAATATCGCTAATATAAAATATTGACTTATAATTAATTTAATAAATAGGAACTAGAAGTAAGATGACAACAATTGATTATTTAAGAAAAGAGGTGTAAAAGTGATAATAGTCATTTCGATAATAAAATATATAATTTTAGTAGAGAGATAGTCGTAGTAGCAAAAATAGTTGCAAAAAAGGATAGTTTGATGCGTTATTAAATTAGAAGCTCGAAAACAATGAATTGGAAGAAAGGAGGGTCAAAATTGGGTGTCAACACACCGGTAATGGACCAGTCAAAGAGTTATAAGATGCATAAATATCTGTGAGGGATGAGAGTGCAAAAAGTTGTTGTGGTATAGTTCCTGTCAAGTTGTTGGCTACAGTTTCCCAACCCTGTCAAGAAATTGTTACCAAAGTTGAGACCTCCCAAGTTTGTCAGTCTTCCAATTGAATCTGGAATGCTACCTGTAAGATTGTTGTTACTCAGCTCGAATAGATTCAAATTCACCAGGTTTGAGATCTCTTTGGGTATGCTTCCACTAATTCTGTTTCCGTAGAAGAGTAGGCTTTGTAACTGAGTAGAAAGGTTGACTGTTGAATGAGGTAATGTACCAACAAACTGGTTGTCTCTAAAATGGAGCATTTGTAGACTTCTGCAGTTGGTAAGAGAATTTACAAAGTCAAGGTCATCATGCTTACCGTGTCCAAATTGGTTACTCCAAACGTTGAGCCACAACAAATTCCGCAAGTTACCGAAACCCTTGGGTATATTTCCAGTGAAATTGTTTATAGGAAAATCAAGCTCTAGCGATTTTGAAGCATTGGCCAAAGAGGATGGTATGGAACCAATGAATTGACATTTCGCCAAGTAAAGTATTTGGAGATTAGGAAGTAGTTGCCTGAATCAGATCTGAGATTACCAGAGAAGTTGTTAAAGGAAAGTGATATTAGTTCCAGGGATGATAAATTGTACAACGGAGGAGGGAACTCCCGGATAAGCTATTTACTGACAATCCAGGAAGCCTCAACTTGGTCAATCAAGCTAAAGAAGCTGGCACTTGTCCCTCTAGATTGTTGTACGATAAGTACAACTCTTCTAAAGATGTAAGATTTCCAATAGAACCTGGAAAGAGTCCTGTCTGGTTGTTATTTCTGAGATACAGTTTCACTAACTTCGTTAAAGATCCAACTTGGTAAGGAATTTATCCCACAAGAGTGTTGTGTTCCAGGACAAGGCTCTTGAGCTTAACACAATGTGATAGATTAACTGGAATTTCCCCTGTTAGATAGTTGAGACTCAAATTCTGGTTTTGAAGCCTTGACAGCCTGCTGAGTTGTTGAGGAAGGCATTTTCTTCAAAGAGAGGTTTCCAAGATGACCTGAGAGCGTACCTACCAGCCTCAGCCCTTTGAGATTCAAATGGGTGACTCTTCCGTGTCTCAGGCGACATTTTACTCCAGTCCACTGACACAAACGAACAGAATCATTCGGCCAAGAGACGAAAACTCCTGATAGATCCTCAGTTATTTGGGACTTGAATCCAAGTAAGGCAAGTTTGTCAATTTCATTGCCAAGAAAAGCAGCTGATGCAGCATGTTGGAGAGAAAATGAGAATATAAACACAAGAAACACAGATTATATATTGGAGCACCACTGCGTGGTATGAGATGCACAATTATATAACAAGCTTCCAATGACATTCACAAAAAAATATTTTTTAGCAATTTTCTTCAAGATTGATTCTGACTGTGGTGCTTGATCCACCTAATTTTTTCTTTATAATATACTCTACAACATAATCCTTTTTATGATGTGAAATCCAACTGATAAGCAATACTTTCAACTCTATGTCCTTTAGTCCACCTGTTTATTGGCGCAATTATTGGCTCATAAGTGATAGTAGTTTTCTAGCATTTGATACAAAGAAAGAAGAAGCTATACTAATTGACCATCCTGAATTTATTGATCTTCATGTGCCATCACTATCCATATATCACAACCATTCAAAATTTACCATAGAGGCAAACACAATGATCAATAAACTCAAAACAGTCAATCAGTATATCATCAACTCTCTTTGATTCAAAAGGTAGAACACTACTGTCACTTATGTGACAATATAAATAATTACACCAATTAATATGTGGACTACCAAAGACCAAATAGTTGAAAGTATCCCTAATCAGTTGGATTTCACGCCATAAATGTAATGACCCTCTTGGTCATTTTTGTGTCTTGCCTTCTGTGTGTCGTTTAGAGCGTTCCTATAGCGACCCCAAGTCATTTACGACTTGCTGGGACTGACAGTTCGGTCACCTGGTCGTTCGTTTGATCTTGGTGTGAGTTTTTGTGTTTTGGAGCTTATGAACCTTAAATGATCATTTTCGATCAAAAGTTCAAGAAGATGACATCGGAATCCAATTCTGA